AAATTAAAAATTTAAATACACAAAATATAACTAATTAATTTTAAAATATGAATATTATTAAGATTAATCTTTTATTTTTTTATTAAGCAATTTCTTTATTTTGAGACTAACATAAGTCTCTTGAAAATAAAATAATAATAATAATAAAAAGAATTAATTACGTGTCAGAGGAATTGACGCGGCAACCCGACAAGCAGCGAGGAAATTGGATTTAACTCGAAAAACCAACCGGCGAAGGCAAAAGGCATATTCCCATTTTGACGACCGCCATTGCCGAACCGACACGGCGCCGATACGCTCTGCAACTCTCCACCCTCCAATCACCGGTTTACACGTTTCAGCTTCGTTGGTGTTAAGGATAGTTGACCGTTCATTATAAGGCAAATATCTAGATATTTGCCTTCCATTACGGGTTACCATATTTTCCCTTTTACTAAATGCAAATATATTGTATTCATTTATTATTCTTTCCTTTTATCGCTATTTCCTTATTATTTGTAATTTACCTTATTTCTGTATTTTGTAAATGATTATAAATGAGAGAAGTCTCACACCATTTGGGTGTGGTGGATTAATCAAACATTCACATGGTATCAGAGCCCTTTCGGTTTAACAACCCTGATCCTTTCTTCTCTATGGCTTCCGAATCTTGTTATCATCTTCTTCCTTTCAATACTCTAATCCATATGATCACCATCAAACTTTCTTCCTCCAATTATCTTCTTTGGAAAAGCCAACTTCTCCCTCTTCTTGAGAGTCAAGACATGCTGGGCTATGTCGATGGAACTATGGTTCCACCACCTCGCTTTGAACCAGAAACCTCCTCAACATTCAACCCCAAATATTTGGCATGGAGAGCAGCCGATCAACGACTTCTCTGTCTCCTGCTCTCCTCTCTCACTGAGGAAGCCATGGCTGTTGTCGTTGGTCTCTCTACTGCACGTGATGTTTGGCTTGCGTTGGAAACTACGTTTAGCCATCAGTCAAAAGCTCGTGAACTGAGACTCAAGGATGACTTGCAGTTGATGAAACGTGGCACAAAACCTGTTGCTGAGTATGCCCGTGCCTTCAAAAAAATTTGTGACCAACTTCATGCCATTGGCAGACCCGTCGAGGACATTGATAAAGTGCACTGGTTTCTTCGTGGACTCGGCACCGAATTTTCAGCTTTTTCTACTGCTCAGATGGCTCTCACCCCTATCCCCTGTTTTGCAGATCTAGTCTCTAAAACTGAAAGTTTTGAGTTGTTCCAGCGCTCCCTTGAGTCCTCTGACTCCACTCCTACAACATTCATAGCCACTAATCGTGGTCGCACCCATGAAAGTCACCCTGCTTCCTTTACCAACCAGCGAGGTCGTTCTTATTCTCACAAAAACAACTCTTCTAATCGAGGACGAACCCACTCAAGTCAGGGTCGTCGACCACCTCATTGCCAAATATGCCGCAAAGAGGGCCATTATGCTGACCGCTGCAACCAACGGTATGTTCGACCTGATTCTTCTCATGCTCACCTTGCTGAAGCCTTTAACACGTCATGTTCTATTGCTGGACCCGATGCTGCTGATTGGTTTTTGGACACTGGAGCTTCGGCCCATATGACTGCCGACCCATCAATTCTGGATCAGTCTAAAAATTACACGGGTAAGGACTCTGTGATTGTAGGAAACGGTGCATCCCTACCCATTACCCACATCGGTACTCTTTCTCCTGTTCCAAATATTCACTTATTAGATGTCTTGGTTGTCCCTCACCTCACTAAAAATCTTCTTTCCATAAGTAAATTAACGTCTGATTTTCCTCTCTCCGTTACATTTACTAATAATCTTATTACTATCCAGAATCATCAAACAGGAAGGGTGGTGGCAACCGGTAAAAGAGATGGAGGGCTATATGTGCTGGAGCGCGGCAACTCTGCTTTTATTTCAGCCCTTAAAAACAAATCTTTACGTGCTTCATATGATTTATGGCATGCTCGTCTGGGTCATGTGAATCATTCTGTTATTTCTTTTTTAAATAAAAAAGGTCATCTTTCTCTTACGTCTTTATTGCCTTCTCCATCATTATGTAATAGTTGTCAGCTTGCGAAAAGCCATCGATTGCCTTATTCCCGCAATGAACGTAGGTCGTCTCATGTGTTAGATCTTATTCATTGTGATCTTTGGGGTCCTTCTCCCATCAAATCAAATTCAGGTTTTCTTTATTATGCTATTTTTATTGATGATTATTCTCGATTCACTTGGTTTTACCCTTTAAAATTTAAATCTGATTTTTTTGATATTTTTCTTCAATTTCAAAAATTTGTGGAAAATCAATATTCTTCTCGTATCAAGATATTTCAAAGCGATGGTGGTACCGAATTTACTAGTACTTGTTTCAAAACTCATTTACGTAATTCTGGCATCCACCATCAACTCTCTTGTCCATATACACCTGCTCAAAATGGTCGTGTTGAGAGAAAACATCGTCATGTGACTGAGACTGGCTTGGCCCTTCTCTTTCACTCTCATCTTTCTCCTCGTTTTTGGGTTGACGCCTTCAGCACTGCAGCTTATATTATCAACCGGTTGCCTACTCCACTTCTTGGAGGTAAGTCACCCTTTGAACTCCTTTATGGCTACACTCCACATTATGACAATTTTCATCCCTTTGGTTGTCGTGTTTATCCTTATTTGCGTGATTATATGCCTAACAAGCTTTCTCCCCGCAGCATTCCTTGTATTTTTTTGGGTTATAGTCCTGTTCATAAAGGGTTCCGCTGTCTTGATCCCGCCACCACTAAGCTATATATCACCTGCCATGCTCAATTTGATGAAACTCACTTTCCTGCTATCCCTAGCTCCCAAGCCCAACCTCTTTCCACTATTCCTATTTCAAATTTCTTGGAACCACATCTTCATCATATTGATTCATCCCCCCCTACCACTTCATCACCGCACATTCCTCAATCCAGTTCATCCCCGTGTGATATTTGTTCTGACCTTGTAGATGAGTCTGTGCAGGTTGATACTTCTCTTGCAGGTTCCACTTTGTCACCCTCGACTTCTAATTCAACCTCTATTGAACCTCCTGTTGATTTCTCTTCTTTGGGCACTCATCCTATGATCACACGCGCCAAAGCTGGTATATTCAAGACTCGTCATCCAGCAAATCTTGGTATGTTGGGCTCATCTGGACTTCTCTCTGCTCTTCTTGCATCCACTGAGCCAAAAGGATTCAAATCTGCGGCTAAGAATCCTGCTTGGGTGGCTGCCATGGATGAAGAAATTCGAGCGTTACAACAAAATGATACTTGGACTTTGGTTCCTCGCCCTGCCAACACCAACATCGTGGGCTCTAAATGGGTGTTTCGTATTAAATATTTGCCCGATGGATCCGTCGAGCGTTTCAAGGCTCGTCTCGTTGCCAAAGGTTATACTCAGGTTCCTGGTCTTGACTACACTGACACTTTCAGTCCGGTTGTCAAAGCTACCACTGTCCGTGTTGTGCTTTCTATTGCAGTCACAAATAAATGGCCTCTTCGACAACTTGATGTCAAGAATGCTTTTCTCAATGGAACGCTTATTGAACGTGTTCATATGGAACAACCTCCTGGGTATGTTGATCCTCGATTTCCTATGCATGTTTGTCTATTAAAGAAAGCTCTCTATGGCTTAAAGCAAGCTCCTCGTGCTTGGTTTCAGCGTTTTAGCTCATTTCTTCTCACACTTGGGTTTTCTTGTAGTCGCGCTGACACGTCCCTTTTTGTCTTTCATCAGCAATCTAACCTTATCTATTTGCTTCTTTATGTTGATGACATTATTGTTACCGGCAACAACTCATCTCTTATTAACAGCTTTACTCGCAAGCTTCATTCTGAGTTTGCTACCAAAGATTTGGGTTCTCTCAGTTACTTTCTTGGTCTTGAAGCTTCACCCACTCCTGATGGTCTCTTTATCAGTCAGTTAAAATATGCTCGAGATATTCTTACTCGTGCTCAGTTGCTCGATAGCAAACCAGTTCACACTCCCATGGTTGTTTCTCAACACCTGACTGCTGATGGTTCTCCTTTCTCTGATCCTACTCTCTACAGATCTCTTGTTGGCGCCCTTCAGTACTTGACTATCACGCGTCCAGATATTGCCTATGCTGTCAATTCTGTCAGTCAATTCTTGCATGCCCCTACTGCAGATCACTTTCTTGCTGTCAAACGTATTCTTCGCTATGTCAAAGGAACACTCCACTTTGGTCTTATCTTTCGTCCATCCACTGTTCCTAGTACGCTAGTCGCTTATTCGGATGCTGACTGGGCTGGTTGTCCCGATACTCGTCGTTCTACATCCGGCTATTCTATTTATCTTGGTAACAATCTCATTTCTTGGAGTGCCAAAAAGCAACCTACTGTATCACGCTCCAGCTGTGAATCTGAGTATCGTGCTCTTGCCACAACTGCTGCTGAACTTCTTTGGGTTACGCATCTTTTGCATGACCTCAAGGTCCCTATTTCACAGCAGCCCTTACTCTTATGTGACAACAAAAGTGCTATTTTTTTGAGCTCTAATCCTGTTTCTCACAAGCGGGCCAAGCATGTTGAACTAGATTATCATTTCCTTCGAGAACTTGTTATCGTTGGCAAACTTCGTACACAATATGTACCCTCTCATCTCCAAGTTGCTGACATCTTCACAAAGAGTATTTCTCGACCTCTCTTTGAATTTTTCAGATCCAAGCTTCATGTTCGTTCAAATCCGACGCTCAGCTTGCGGGGGGGTGTTAAGGATAGTTGACCGTTCATTATAAGGCAAATATCTAGATATTTGCCTTACATTACGGGTTACCATATTTTCCCTTTTACTAAATGCAAATATATTGTATTCATTTATTATTCTTTCCTTTTATCGCTATTTCCTTATTATTTGTAATTTACCTTATTTCTGTATTTTGTAAATGATTATAAATAAGAGAAGTCTCACACCATTTGGGTGTGGTGGATTAATCAAACATTCACAGTTGGTTATATAAATCCCCGAACCCAAACCACCTCCCCTGTTCCAGTTAACCCAACCAACCACCTCCCCTATTCCAATTTCACCGGCTGCTCCGCCGCGAAACATGGCACACCCACAACCCGTCCTTCCCAATTTCCATAATTTCCACGAATCCTGGCTCAGCACCCAACAATCCTTCCTCCAACAGCTTCTCGATTCCGCAGCCTTACAGAGCAACGACAAGGAAGACGCCCAATTGCGCCTAATCGCCCAAGTCCTCGCCCACTACCAGCAATACTACGACGAGCTCTCCAAGGCCGCCGCCGAAGACATCTTCCAAGTCCTCTCTGCCCCATGGCTCACTTCTTTTGAGCGCACCTTTCTTTGGATTTCTGGCTTCAAGCCTTCCCTCCTCATCCGCCTCCTCTTCGCCGCCGTCAACGACTTGACCCCAGCACAGTCGGCTAGACTAAACGAGGTCAGAGCCGAGGTCAAGTGGAAGGAGAGGGAGTTGACTGATGCTATGGCTAGTTTGCAGGAGACAATAGCGGCGCCGCCGATGTTGGAGCTGGCGAGGCGGGTCGGAGCTGGGAGGCTTGTGGACCGAGAGATTTGCGAAATGGAAAGTGCGATAGAGGATCTGAAGATGGGAATGTTGGGGGTTGCGGATAAAGCGGATTTGCTGCGTGGGTCGACGGTGATGACGGTGGTGGAGTGTCTGAATTCCGATCAGATGGTGAGGGTTTTAGCGGCGGTGGTGGGGTTTCAATTGCGGGTTAGAAGATGGGGCCTTCAGAGAGATTGAATTCACGCCATGAAATTCGATTTGGAATGGGCTCAACTCAACCAATACATAGGCCCATTTCCATCGCCTGTTGTGCTTCAAAAAATTTCAATTTTCTGTTTTTTATAAACAAAATAATATAATAATAAATATATATATAATATTTAAGTTTTCTTTTTCTTTTCTTCGTAGGATTAAAATTGTGAGTACTTTAATTTGGTACTCATTACAAGCTGGTATTATTTTTCTTTGTTTTAGAAAATTAATAGTTAAAATTTTATTCTCTAACATTATAAATTAGACAGGTGTGATCACACCTCAAATTGGTTTGGGGAGTAGAACAAACCACCATTTATAAGGGTGGTGTGTAAACCTTTCCTTTAGCAGACGCGTTTTAAAGCCTTGAGGGAAGCCCAAAAAAAAAATCCAAAGAAGACTGCTAGCAGTTGATCTGGATCATTACAAGTGGTATCAAAATTAGACACCAGACGATGTGCCAGCCTTCTTGCTATTCTCCAAAGGGGTAGAGACGAGGCGGTGTGCCAGTAAGGACACTGGGCCCCAAATGAAGTGGATTGTGATGTCGAAATTGTTATGTTTTGACAAAATCAGAAATTTGATAAGCAACCTCTAAAATAATACGACGGGATTCGAGATTATTAATTGATAAAGGGATATGCCTTTGTTTGTGTCTCCACTTATGCCCGCCTAAAAAATTAGCTTGAGAAATGACTGGTCAGTTATGGGAGGTAGGAATCCATATCAGGTTGGAATGTCGCTGTTAATGTAGTACCTCTAGGGCTGACAACTCTCCTAGTCTTTAGACACTCACCCTAGTTCTAAATCTCGATTAGAAATGGGTAGTGCCATAAGCAGAATTAGTTCCAGTCACAGCTATTAACGTGGCATAGTGAGAGGTGAGAAGAATGATAAGAGAGGCAACAGATGATCTATATTCGGTTGTTTGCGGTGGAATAAATTCAAGCATTCGAGCTAGTAGATCTAGAGCAAATAGACATTGACTTAGTTACTACTAGTAGATCCAGAGCAAATAAGCGTTGACTTAGTTACTAATCAACATCCAAGTGATAGTTGTCGCACCAGAAGCTTTCAAAGGCAGCGACACGTATATCTCGATATTTTAAAGAACGAGAAAGAAAAAATTCTTAACCAAGTACAACGAATTAGGTCAATATGAACACAATTTTTAGATATAATAATACTATTTGTTACTCGTGAAATTTATTAATAAATTAAAACGTGAATAAAACGTAAAATACAGTAATACCTTAGGAAAATCGAAGTGCCCAACCATTATGAGGACTCGAAAGAGGTTGAAACTGGACCAAATAGATACCATGCACCAATGCCTTCAAACACTCATAAAAATCATGATTTTCGAGTTCCCATGATATTGTTTCCCAATGTTTTAAAATATTAACATAAAAAAACATGCACGCCTATCTGTCAACAATATTTCGACACGAGTCCCACAAATAAGAATTAAATAATAATCATTAACCAATCATATTTTTGCTAATTTTACTTTTTTTTTATATATTATAAATAATATTTGTAGGTATTAAACTTTTAACCATTTTGATCCTACCTGAAAGTTATTTTATATATTCTTACACTATTAGCTAAATTAATAAAAATATATATTGTATTTTAAAAAATAAAACTATTAATAAAATTTCAAAATTTTATATATCCTTAATAATATAAGAATGAAAATGTTAATATCGCGTTAAAAAAATATTCATAAACGTACTCATCTATTTCAATCTATGACTCGACCCGAGTAGTATGGAGCACGTGGAATCCCGTGTGAATTAGCAAGGACCATCTTGCAAGGCTAAATACTCTTGGGTGATCAATAGTGAAGTAGTACCGTGAGGAGAGGGTGAAAAGAACCCTCATTACGGAGTGAAATAGAACATGCAACCATAAGCTTCTAAGCAGTGGGAAGAGACTAGGACTCTGACTGCGTGCTTGTTGAAGAATGAGCCGACGACCCATAGGCAGTGGCTTGGCTAAGGAAACTCATTGGAGCCGTAGCGAAAGCGAGTCTTCATGGAGCAATTGTCATTGCTTATGGACCTGAACCTAACCGTTTATTATTATTTTTTATTTTAATTTTTTACTTAAATACCCTTATCTTATTTCCTAAATTTATTTTTTTAATTTAACGCTCAAATGGACCATTTAAAATTTTTAATAAAAATTTAAATGGAGATATTAATGAAAATGGGGATGTTTTATTAATTTAATTTATAATTGGAATATTTTTTTTAATGATAAAAAGAAAATAAATAAATAAATAATGGGAAGTAAATAAAGTATTTGGAGAACATTGAAGACGAATCTGTAGATGGAACAGATACAGATAATGAAACCGCCCGTACTAAGTTTATTGCATCACATGTCGATCCACACTGCCACGTATACACCCCAGCTGCAGCCTGGACACTGGACACCACCTTTTTTTAATGCCATCAAATTCCACTGCCGATGTGGCTCTCCACGTCAGCCGCTGCCACCGCCACCGCCGCAGCTCTGTAGTCTTGCCAACGAAGCAACCTCCTCTGTTTTTGCTTCTTTTCTTTCAAGGAAATCAACAATGGCGGCAACACCACGACCAACCACCACCACTACTAATCTGCCAGTCTATAAATAATTCCCTCCCTCTCCCTTTCCTCCACTACCCCATCTGGGGATTGGCCGAGTGGCGCCGCCGTGACAAACCATGTCGAACCCATCAAGGTCGATGGCTCACTCTGCTTCTGCAATCGAAAATTTCGGGAATTTTTACGAGATTTGGCTCACAAGACAACGGGAGTTTCTCAAGGAGCTTCTCCATGTATTGCAAATCGAAGAACACGAGGAGGAGAAGCAATTTGGAGTGATCAATCAAGTTTTGGCGCATTACCAGAATTACCATGAGGAAATTTCCAAGGCGGCCGGAGAAGATGTGTTCAGGGTGTTTTCAGCGCCGTGGTTGAGTTCTTACGAGAGGACTCTGCTTTGGATTTCTGGGTTTAAGCCCTCGATCGTGTTCCGATTAGTGGATGGGGCTGTGAAGGATTTGACGGCGGTTCAGGTTATAAGAGTGGAGGAGCTGAAGGCGGAGGTAAGGCGGAAAGAGAGGGATTTGACGGAGGCACTGGCTAGTTTGCAGGAGACGGTTGCAGCGCCGCCGATTGTGGGGCTCGCACGGCGAGCCGGGAGGCTTGTGGACGGAGAGATTTGTGAAATGGAGAATGCGATTGAGGAACTGAAAATTGGGATGTTGGGTGTTTTTGATAGCGCCGATTTGCTTCGTGGGTCGACGATGAAAAGGGTTATGGAGATTTTGAAGACTGATCAGACGGTGAGGCTTTTAGCGGCGGCGACGGAGTTTCAGCTGCGAATCAGACGGTGGGGCTTGCAGAGGGATATGCAGGGAACAAGAACAACATGAATCACCGCCGATTTGGTAGCTTTGATGTGCGTGTGTTTGACGCTAGCCAATGAAATAAAAATAAGTGAGCTTAAATGCTTTGATTCTCCAGGGGAAAATGAAAGTAAAAGTTCCTAATGCAAGTGTCTTAAATTTAGTTTTTGTTTTTAGTTCAACAATGTGGATGAGTCTACGATTCAAGAGTTTCCGATTCGAAGTTCTGTCTTGTTCATCAGTACTATGTGTGTGAGTCTACGATTCGAAGTTCTGTCTCGTTCATCAGTAATACTCGTCGGTTTGATCTTAAGACCTTGAACTTATTTCAAAGTTGTAATTACAAGACAAAAAATGATTCGTCGTCGGTCGGTCGGTCAATATTCGAGAAGGAAAAAAAAAGTAACTAAAGAGAATAAAAAGAAACTTGGAATAAGAATTTTAGACTCAACTTTAGAATGAACACTTGAATATTTTACTGAATTCCATCAATTTCTTTTGCTATTCAATAATTTTTTTAGGTATATGGGCGGCTAATGCTGACGAACAGTGCGAAACATTTCTCATAAGAGTGTGAAAATTTCTTCCTAGCAGAAGGATTTTAAAATAATGAGGCTAATCATATTACATAACAAGTCAAAACGAACAATATCCGGCAGCGGTGAGCTTGAGCTGTTACAAATAGTATCATAACACCAAGCAATGTGCCAACGAGAACATTGGGTCCTCAAGGAGGTGAATTATGATATCTCACATCAGTTGTTGAAGAAAACAAAACATTTCTTACAAGAGTGTGAAAACCTTTATCTAGCAAACACGTTTTAAAACTGTGAAGCTGACAACGATACATAACAAGTCAAAGCAAACAATATTTGTTAGCAGTGGGCTTGAGCTGTTACAAATAGTACCAGAGCCAAATATCAATGCCAACAAGAACGTCATGCCTTCAAGAGAGGTGGATTATAAGATCCCACATCAATTGAGGAAGAAAACGAAACATTCCTTATAAGGGTATAAAAACCCCTTTCTAAGAGACGCGTTTTAAAACCATGAGACTAACAACGATACCCGACAGACAATATCTACCAGCAATGAGTTTGAGCTATTAGAAATGGTATCAGAGCCAAACACTAAGCAATATGCCAACAAGGACACTAGACCTTCAAGGGGATGAATTGTTAGATCGCACATCGAAACATTCCTTATAAAGGTGTAGAAACTTCTCCCTAACAAACGCAGTTTAAAACTATGAGACCGAAAATGATACATAACAAGTCAAGACAATATCTACTAACGATGGGCTGTACTGATACCCGGGTTCATAGATTCTCCACAGCAACACATAGTGGGGGAGTATAAACATAAAGTTTCTTTATACAAAGCTGTGTGTATCATCTACTACTTTTCTTTGCACCTTTTCCTTTTTATTTAGGTTTTCCTCTCACCTTCCTTCTCCATTATCAGCCATGGCTTTCCACTCAGCCTTCTTTCTTCTTCTGTTCTTGGCTTCCTCCATTGCTTCTTCTCAAGCTCTTACTGCCACCATAGCCAACCAGTCCCAGTTCTTCCTTCTCATGCAAACAACTGCCTCAGGTGAGCTCCTCTCTAATTGGGATCTTTCACAAGGAAAATCCTTCTGCAACTTCACTGGAATCCGCTGCAATGACCGTGGTCACGTCATTCGGATCGATATCT